TAATCGCTGCATTGCTAAACTCCTCGATTCCGAGTAATTATGTAGTGTGATCAAGTTTCTCGAGGGTTATATAAAAAGTTTATGATTTTCTTCTCGGTGTTTCGCAATGGTGTGCACCGGTGCGCGCGATCGTGTCTAAAAGTTTCCTCGGATTGTTACGAGTTTCTCGGGGGGTAAAAAGAAGAAGAGTTTGTCACGTTTTACACGAGGAAGCTTCAGCTAATCGAGCGCAATATTTGTTGTCGCGTTTCAGTTCAACGGCGTGCTTGAATGTTTCAAGACGCAAACTCATTAGGCTACGTTCATTATTTCACAGCTACGTTATCTATTCAATTTTTTCTTTCAATGCTACTTTATCTTTCCAACACTTACGAAAACGAAACTTTTAAAATTTGCATAATTGCATCTATAATTTCGAAACATCCTGCGAATTTATGCACGGAAAAGGGCGTGTAAATCTTTAACAACGCGTACCAAAGGATTTTCAGGAAGATATCGAACGTTGTTGCGAAATTAAAAATTTGCATACGCGCGTGCAAATTTCGAGCGTTGCACTTTTCTCCGCAATTTTTCGAAGGAAAATCGTGGTACGCGCACGATGCTGCAACTCGCAATCAGAGTGATCCTTGGGTATGATTGAACGCGACAAAAAAGCGAGAAAAACCGCACAAACCGAGTGAAAGTACGCATTTTCACGTTCACGAAGTTCTGATAATGCGGTAGTCATAAATCACCGATGTAAAAGTGCCGTGGAGCGCTTTCTGTGTGCGTGCCACTGAATGGTTATTGCACGGCGCTAATGAATTTCCACGTGTCGCCGGATCTATGTAGGTCGACGTACCTTGCATCCGACAGGATTCTTCGCTTGAAACCGTCGTAACGTAATTTCTGATTGAAGGTTAAGAAGTATCGGTGAATCTCTCAAAATCTCGCACCATGGAAGAAATTCTGAACACCTCTAATCGCAATTTGAAACGTTAGAAAGCTCGAACAACTGTATACGCCAATTTTGTGCACACTTTTGATTTATCACACACGCCCAACAATTCCTTTCTTTGCGATTCGATCAATTTCACACCTTGTTAGGTACTCTGGCAAAAGCGCAACTCGGAAAACAAAGTGGTAATTTATACTTGCAAATCAGACGAGGGGAAGATGGTAGGAAATAAGCGGGACCTCGATGAGTATATTCCGTGAAAGTACCGAAAATATGAACGAAGTGAAATCGGGATATTCTTTATTGGCCGGTGTAGCTTTACGGCTGAGTGTCGGTGTTCATGGAACAACCGTTCGAAAGAAAAGGAAGCATCTTGAGGGAAGTGGTGCGGCGGGGATGATATCATTCCAGTGTTTCGCAACGCCAGACGTAATACGTTGCTCTTGAATTCCCTCCAAGAGAGTGGATTCTACCCGGATTTTCGAATTCGCCCGATTTGTTCGTACATCCGGCCGCAATTTATCGCGATATAAAAGTGGATGCGCCGCGGCGGACGACGATCGGGGAAGAACTCGAAAATCCCGCAGAATGTACAGCTTTCGGGAGAATTCGAGAGCAACGTATTGTACCGCGACCACCGTGAAACTTCTTCGTCATAAGAACCACCGCTTCTCGTCTGTTCTTCTTCGAGAATCGAGACACTTTCTTTCACCTTTCAAAAAAAAAAAAAAAAAAAAAAAAAAAAAAAAAAAAAAAAAAAAAAAAAAAAAAAACAGATCTTCCATCGATGTGAAATTAAAAGAAGAAATGAACAGATCTTCCATCGACGTGAAATTAAAAAAAAGAAAAAGAGAAAATGTCATCGTGTCGTATTTTCGAGCACAGATAGACTCGGCGAACTTTCAAGAGAATATAAATGTTCTCGCGGAGCAATGGAACGCAGCGGTGGCCGCATGATTAATACACTTTCTTCCGGCCTCTCGAATTTGACTGCGCACAATCTCGACAAAATCTCGCTCAATCATAGTCATGAATGCAGACAGCTCCTTCTTCCGCGGCCACGCGGACGTTTAGACATATAGAGGGGAATCCTCGGAAAAAAGGAGAGTGGGGTGGTTATAGAGGGGAGGTGAAGGAGGAGCATACGAGGGCAATAGTTCGGCGAGGATAAGCGGGATGCGAAATAGCTTCGCCATAAGAGGAAAAATACGAACGGCTGGTACGTGTGTTTCGTGTACACGTTCGTCTAGACGTGCACCCGCGTGCAACCAACCTATACATACATACATATATGTACGATACATAACCCCTTGCAGGATATGTGGAAGGCTCGGGGGAACGAGATTACAGGAGATCGAGGAGGAAGAGGGAGTAGGAGTTGAAACGGTTCGAGTGACTCTTTTCCTCCCTGTTTCCCAGACGTGGCCCACCACCATGGCTAGAAACTATGGATTACCGGTGTGTATAGAGGTAGAGCCTCTATCCCTTCCAAAGCACGCTCGAGTCGCGCTGATAGTTGGACACCTAACAATGGGCGAACGCCACAGCTAAGCAAGATTAGGGGGCTAGTTTCTATAAAACGGGTAGCCGCAAAGAGGATCGAGGTGAAACGTTTTCGACAGGTTCTACTATACGCGTCGCTGTGTTTTAAACCAGAGTGTGCTCTTTTCTTGTACGGTGTTTAAACTTCTTTCACCAAGTGGCTCGCTAAGTCGGCCGACATCTCAGGTGAGTAGATAGACAGAGAGAGAGAGAGAGAGAGTAGAAGTTGACGGTACTCGATGCTACATAGCACAGGCCTACGTCAGGTGACATCGGCGCAGACAAGATGTATCGATTACTGATACTTAAGTACATACGGCGATGGTGTACACCGTTGAGGTCTGCTTGGTTAGCGTCGTTTCACCGGAGACTAGAGACTATCTTCTGCCACGTTTCACCCCCCAAAAAACGTTTCTCCCTGGGTTAGACAGACCGATGCTTGCTTCGCTCGTTTTTCAGCCAAACTGCGGGCGTAATTAGCTGTTACGATTGACGTGCAATTAGAGTGACAAGTAAAAGGGTAGAGAAAAAACAAGCAGAGGAGGGAGAGGAGAGAATTTGCTGGTACGTTGAACGAACTATGAGAAATTCGCGACGCATGGACGGAAGGGTCGTGTGTAGCAACGTAACGTCGAGGAATTAATAATTCTCATTAAAGCCTTCACCCTTCCCCACCCTCTTTGCAAACTGTTATTTAATTATGCAGCGTCGTTGCATAATCGTTTTAAACTATCCACAGATCGGGTTTGACGGGCGTATGTAAGCCGGTGGTGGCGTGTACCGCGCGTCGAAAACACGGTAACGTCTTTGGTAATTATCGATAATCGATAGATGATGCTCCATTACGATGTATCCAGCAAATTACACGTATGTACAGTTTGATAATTCGAGACGGCTAATACAGTGGTCCGGAGTATTTGATAAGCCAGTGTATACAGGCTATTAACATTTGATAAATGATCCGGCATTAAAGGGTTAGCGGAGGCCGGTGGTTTGAATCCGTCGATGGTCGTCCGCCGATAATGAATAAACATCGAGTGTCCGGGTTTGGAAATTAGGCCACTCGATCGCGTTCCACGATACCAAGGTGCTATTAAAATCGTTCGATCGTTCCGCGTTACACGGTAGAAGAGGTTTCCACCGATATTCTGCAAACAATGAAATTCCAGGGAGGGCCACGGCCCGCGAAACTGACGGGGAGTTTCCATCGGGAGGAAACGTGAACCGAAACGGGCACGAACTCTCTCGTGTTAACGAAGTATATACACGCGGGCAAACACCTGGGGAATAGAAAA